AGGTCAAGGTCACTAGCTTGGCGAAGGTCACCCGGTACACAGATGGTCCTGCCATCCCCAGGTGCTATCCACATTGTGCTGTTTCATTGTCTTCACCGCACTTAACTCACGTTTGAAATTCTCTTTTTTATCTACTTCCTTCTGTCTCCACCGCACCTCCCCACCAGGATGTAAGTTCCGTGAAGGAGAAAATAAGGTGGCCAGATCCAATGTAGGATAAACAGTTATGTTTGAAATGGAGGATAAAACAACTGAAGTTTTAAAGTATGGAAAATATGTATATATATATGTCCCCTGTGTTAGTTGGTACATACTTGTACTAAACGAGTTATTCACTGTTTAGCTGAAATTCAAATTTAATTGGGCCTCCTTTGTTTTTATTTGTTAATACAACAGCCCTGTCAGGGAGGGATCTTAACTGTTCACTGTGTCACCTCTAGCACCCACTTATAGTGCACGTAGAATGTGCTGAATAAATGTCAAATGATTGGATGGACAAATTTCTTCATTCACTCATCTATTCATCCAACCCATTATATTAACCGCCAGCTGGGTTCTGGGACTATAAGGGCAAAATGAGACATAGTCCAGTGGAGGAGGCAGACAAATAAACAGTAAACACCATGTGATTGAGCTGTGATGATATAAAGTAATAGGGGCTGTGGGAGCACCAAGGGGAGCCCTGACTTGTCTAAGCCAGCAGGACTGCCTGGAGGAAGATGACCTAGATGAGACTTGGAGGATGAGGAGGTGAAGAGAGTGGTGTGACAACTGCTCCAGGTGGAAGGTGTGGCGTGTGCAAAGGCCAGAGATAAGTCAGGGGCTATGGGGTTCTGAAAGCTGCAGTGGCTGGAGTGGAGGGCAGAAGTGCAGTGTGGAAGGAGCAGTCAGAAAGAGGTAAGAAGGAGACTCAGTCACTGAGCATCAGTACCCACCAGTCAGGTACCACAGTGATTGTATCCATTATATAGATGAGGAAACTGAGGCTAGGAGAGGGGAAATGCCTGGTCTGGGTTTATAGTCTGAGTGGGAAAGGCCTAACTTCAAGCTCAGCTCTGGCAGATTCTGAAGCCTGACTCTTCTAGAAAAGGTTCAGGGTTAAGGATTATAAGTCCAATTGGAGAATGTAGAAACAGGCCCAGAAAGGTGACAGGGCTCTCCCTGTGAAGGTGGCTCCATCCAGTTTAACCGGAGAGTGCTGAGACAGTACAGCGAGGTGTATGGAGCAGGACAAGGGCGTTCAGTCTGCTGTGTCTCCCGTTTCTGTTTGGGTTGAGTCTCTAGGAATCCCTTACTGAGCCCTTGGCTAATTCCTTGCATGGGTCCCAGGCTGGTCTGCAGTTTCCATGGAGACTGCCTCCATCCATCCCTGAAATCTCATTGTGACCAGTATTAAGAGATTAACTCTGCCTGGCGGCCTTCACAGGGTCTTGAGTGCCAGAGTGGCTGCGGGAGCTCCCTTAAGGATGAAGAGGTTGCCTGCTGTGTGCGACCCCATAACACCAGGAGGAGGATGTCAGACTGGGGCCAGGGCTTCCCCCGGGACCCCTCAGGTATGATCCTGACTCCACATCTACCTGGAAAGGAGGCTGAGGTGGTGGGAGACAGACACAGGGCTAAGGGGAGGAGTATAGATTTTGGAGCAGGGTAGAGATGCTGTCACCTCAGCCCCCAACCCAGGAAGGCCCGGGGCCTTGACGGGCAGACCCTATTCTGATCAAGGCAAGATTCAAATTCCCTTAACAAGGCAAGGGGAGCCTCACAGAGTCTTTTTTTTTTTTAATACCTTGCAGTTTACAGTCATTATTATTATTATTATTTTTACAGTCATTATTTTTCATTTTATTTTTTGGCTGCACCTCGAGGTATGTGGAACCTCTCCCACCAGGGATTGAACCCACAGCTCCTGCAGTGGAAGCCCAGAGTCTTAGCCACTGGATCACTAAAGGAAGTCCACCTCACAGAGTCTTTTAGGGGTGTTTTAAAGCTACCTGAAGACCAGCTTCCTAATCTGCTTCATTTTGCTTTAGGGAAACTGAGGCACAGAATAGGAAAGTAACTTGTCCAAAGTCAGGCAGTCAGTGAACTGAAGCAGGTCAGGAATCCAGAGGGAGCCGTGGGGTTGCCTGAGCAGAAAACATTTGGTTCAAAAGTCATTGCCCCCTCTACCATGAATCCCAGATCCTCCTTCCTGACCTCTAGGCATGACGTCCCCTCAGCCTCCTCTCCCCTGGGCCTGTCCCATCAGCCAGGCTTCCCTTCCCTCCCCAGCTGCCCCCCTCCACCACCTGCACAGTCTGAGGTTGCCAGAATGTCCCTGGCAGGCTCCACTCCACTGGAGAGCACGGCCACCAGGCCCTAACTGTCCCATGCAGGGGACCATCTGCGCACTGGGTCACTATCTGGATGACCTTGGACATTTTTTGTTCCACATTCCAGCCTCTCTGTGACTTCAGGACCTGGACAAGGTGGGGGGTCATGAGAACCCGTCCTTATCCCATCTCCTCTTGCCAGGCCTGGGTTGGAGAAATTTAGGCCTGGCTCCAAAGCTGTCTGGGCCAGGCTTCCCGGAAGGCCACACTGGGGCAGGAAAGCAAACACTGACTCTGGAGCCAAGTAGCCATAGGTCAAATGCTCTTGACTCAGCATTGTGAGCCTCAGTTTCCTCACCTGTGAAAGGGGGCAACAACCCTTCTGTCCTCAAAGCTCATTCTCATTTGCTATGGGAAAGTCTCCAGGTTATACTGGTAAATGAACAAAGTGAGATGCAGAACAGTTTAAGAGGCGGGAGGTGATGTCATATGGTCTTATATGTTAGCTACTGGTAAAGAGCGCTGTGGACAGGAGGCAGGGGTGGACTCTAGTTTCCTCAAGTGCACCTTTAATAAAATTATGTATTTATTTATTTATCTGGCTGCACTGGATCTTAGTTGCAGCATGCGGGAGTCTAGTTCTCCCACTAAGGATTGAACCTGGACCCTCTGCTTTGGGAGCGAGGTGTCTTAGCCACTGGACTACCAGAGAAGTCCCTGTACCTTTTATTTTGTTTTGACTTTTGAGTCATGTGAATGTAGTACCAATTAAAAAAGAAATTTACTTTTTTTTAAAAGCAGATTGGGGAAAATATCAAACTGTAAGAACAATAGCTCATACTTCAATGGCATCTTGGCTAATGTCATGTTATTGACAATATGAAGACCCATGAACTAGAACCAGACCCTGAGTCTCTGAATCCTTGACCTAGAAAGGCCTTTGATTTTAAGCCAATTTCATTTTGCCAATAGCAAATTAATAGTTATCAATACCAAGAATCAGAAGCTCCCTACAGGCCCTCCACAGTGCCAAGCACTGTCTGAATAGCATCTCATTGAGCTGGTATTCTGACTTTATGAGGAAGCTATCATGTTCCCATTCTACAGATGGGGAAATGGAGCCTCATTGCTGTTGCAACCAGGAGGTTGTAGAACTTGGATACACATCTAGGCTTTTCCAGCTCCAGAATTTTAAGCCCTCCTACGATGGGTGTCAATCTTGACTGCATATCAGGATCACCTGGGGACTTTAAAAAATACTCAGAGCCAGCACCCACTCACCCCTAGATTCAATCACTGGACTGTGACAGGATCTGCGCATCAGTATTCTTTAAAGGTTCCAGGTGATTCTAATACACCATCAGGGTTGAATCTCTGCTTTATGCTAGACAGCTTTTCAAATGGGAAACCAAGGCCCAGGAGGGAAATGACCTTGCTCAAGGTCACATAGTAGCTGGAAACAGAACTACAACAGGGCTCACGTGGAGATTTTGTGAAAATAAGTGAGTGGTGCGTCACCCCTGGGCAGACAGAGCTGTACGGGCGGTTGGCTTGGTAAGCGGAACATGGTTAGATTTCCACCTCCACTTGCTCCCTTACCCAGAGAAGCTTTGTGCAGTGAGCAACCTGTACAACTGTACACAGCAACTGTGGCCTGAGTCTCAGGGTCCCAAACACTTCAACTCAGTTGCCTCCAGGCAGATCCCTGTAGCCCTTCAGAACAAGGATGGGGGAGACCAAGCGTGGTTCCTGGGATGTGAGTTTATCCGTCACCTGAATACCAGGACCTGCACTTTTCAGACCCAACAAGAGCTGGGCAGGCCCCATCCAACTCCCAAAGTCACTTCTGCATATAAAGTCAGGAATTCATACCCAGAAGGGAGGAAAGTATACTGGAGGACAGAAACAGCCTCAGCTCAGAAGTCACAAGCCACCTGCCAGAAGGCAGCCTGCAGAGAGGCCCCGCCCACACGGACCCAAGTCCTCCTGGCTTCCTTCCTGATCATTCTCTAGACCACACTCTCTCTACTACCTCTTGAGCCTTGCAGACAGCATCTCCCATAATGCCCTGCTATCCAACCAAAGTGGCTTCCATGCCCTTTCACCCTCACCCACCATGTTCTCCAATTCTGGAAGTTTCCTCTGTTTAGGATGCCACCTCCTCCAGGAAGCCCTCTCTGACTACTCTAGCCCAGAGATAGGTCTTCTTTCTGCCTCCTTCCAGCCCTCACAATCCATACACACAGCCCACATGTGCCTTGGGATGGAGCTTATTTTATCATCACACTGGCCACTTTTCATTGAACATTTACCATGTGCCAGCCCTGGAAGGGCAGGGTGGCTTGGAGATTAGGAGAACAGACTCTGGAGCCAGACTACTTGGGTTGGAATCCCAGCTTCTTAGAAGCTGTGTGAGCTCCGGCATATGATTCAATCTCTCTGTACCCTGGGTCTACGAGATGGTGATTAAAAACTTGGCTTTACATCGCAGAGTGGTTATGAGGATTGATGAGTTATTATGTACATGTGTGTGTGCTAAGTTGCTTTGGTCGTGTCCAGTTCAGTGTGACCTTATGGACTGCAGCCAGCCATGCTCCTTGATCCATGGGATTCTCCAGACAAGAATGCTCGAGTGGGTTGCCATGTCCTCCTTCAGGGGATCTTTCCAACTCAGGGACTGAACCCGTGTCTCTTATGTCTCCTACATTGGCAGGCAGATTCTTTACCACTAGAGCCGCCTGGGAAGCCTGTTAATAAGTGAAACGCCCTCAAAACAGCTTTGTAAATGTTGACCATGGTTATCATTGTGTAGATCACACTCCATTTCATCCTCACTACAACCTTGTGAGTTAGGTACCACTGTTCCCAATTTACAGATGAGAAAACTGAGACCCAGAGAGGTCGAGAGAGTCAGGGCAGGGCTCTGCATCTATTTCTATGGCCCGAATCCTTCAGAGAGAGGATGTGGCTGGGATGGGGTATAACTTTGAGCCTCTGGTTTGCAGCTCTTGACTGCTTCTCAGAGGGCCCACAGGACTCCGGGCCAGGTGACACCCTCATCCCCACCCTTCCTCCCTGACTCAGACCTTCCAGTGGCTCTCAGGCACCACTGTGCTTACAGCCAGCCCTGGGAGGGAGGGTAAACAGCGAAGAAGGGCCTTTCAGTGCCATTTTGTTTGCTAACATCCAGGATACATCCCTGAGTACCAGAGAGAGCTCCTGCCTGCTCTAGCCTAGCTGGAGACCCCGGATGACCTTATATTCCTGGACAAGTCACTTCCCCACTCGGCCACCATCTCCCCATCTGTACGATGAGGCTGAACCGGTGGTTTTCTGATTCTCGTTATTTGCAGCTGGCTCCACTTTGAAATGAAATATTAAGGACCAGTGTTCGTAGGCAGACCAGGCAGACACGGGGTGAAGTAGGGCCTGGGCGTAGACTCCCTTGGCTCCCAGGACCTCAGAACCCAGCTGAAAGACCCCAGGCCGCATCCTCCGAAGGGCTCCCTCGGCTCTGACACCGCAGGATTCCAGAATCGCGCGCAGCTCAAAGCCGCCACTTCGCATCCCTGTTTGGAAAACTCTCCCCCCCACCTTGCCCCCCTCCAGCTGCTTTTATCTCTGTTTGGTAACACAGCAAATTTGCTCAGGACCCAGAGCAGGGGAAACAAGCAGTCTGTTGACTCTTGAGCAAAACCTCCCCTTTGGAGAGCAACAGAGGTGGCTCTGGCTGTGCGTGGGGAAGCTGATGGCCTCTTGCATAACCCAGCGGGCTCCTGCCCACCCAGGCCTTTTGCTTTGCAGGGTTAGGGGTGAGGCAAACCGCAAACTCATGCCCAGTTAATTTTTTAAGGCAAAATCAACAGGCTCAGCAATGATTAGCGAGTAGGTAAGTTGGTCTTAATCATGCTGAGGAGAAGGAGGAAGGAGGCTTCCAGGGGCCCAAGGATGGGGCTTAGTTATCAGTTAACCACATAAATGTTTCCTTCCAAACCCACTGGCCTTCAGCCCTCAGCTTCCTCCTCTTCCTCTCGGAAATATTGAGTTGAACAAAAAGTTCATTTGGGTTTTTCCATAACATCTTACAGAAAAACCCAAACGAACTTTTCTGCCCACCCAGTACTTCCAGAGCATCCCAGCGAGTGGCCATCAGTCCTTGAGTGATCAGACAGCCCACCCTCTGTGGTCCGGAGGAGGCACTGCCAGGGCCCTGGAGCGCTGCAGTGAAGCAAAGGGCTCCTCATGGGTCTTGTGGTCTTATTAAGACCGAGCTCCCCCCAGCCCCCATCCCGCTGCCTCTGCATGATCTTCAGCATGTGTCCTCCATCCTCAGGGCTCAATGAGGGGCCCTGGGTCTGTTCAACGGCTGCCACTCCCCTGGGGACCTCAGTTTCTCCATCTGCCAAATGGGTGGGTTGGATGAGACACCCTGTCCAGTCTTGAAGTTCCGTGACTGGGTTAAACCAACATGGCCTGTGCTCAGGACAAGGAGAGTGGGATGAGCTGTGGTTTTAGGGAGTATGAGGGGGAGGAAAGAAGCCAGGAACAGGGAGGGGGCCTACCTGGTATCTGCTGTTGGTACCAGCCAGTGACAGATCCCAGCTCCAGGAAGAGGGCTGTCCTCTCAGGTGGGAGGCACGGGTCCCTGTGGGGTGGGCTAGGGCTGCAGGGATGACCTGACAGACCCCGGTTGGTGCCCTGAGACCTCGAGAGCTGCCGAAGGAAGCCGGAAGGCCACACTGGGCCCTGCTGGCTGCCCAGACTGGAGTTTGGTCAGTGTTTGGGAACCTATATTGTGAGAAAGTTAGGACTTTGTCCACAAACTGGAATTTGAAATTTCAAAGGGGCGAGACTGAAGGGCCCTACCCCAGAGTGGAGATGGCTCTTGGCTTCTTTCCCCCACGACTTTTGTTCTCTGTCTTGATAAGTCCCTGGTTCCCTGCACCGCTCCCTGGGTGATGGGTGGGGGAGGAGAGGCTGGAGACGGTGGGGACGTGAGCACCCAGGGGCCGTGAAGATGCCTGGTGGCCGTGGGGTAGCCGGTGTCTGGAGGATGCCTCTGAACTTGCGCGTGCACCAGGACAGCCTCCTTGGCTTCTCAGACCCCTGAGTGCTCCAGCAGTAACGTGACGATGGGACCACTAGCCACCAGCGCTCAGAAGTCCGAGGTTCTTTCTGGGAGGGAGCAAGGAGTAGATGAAGCCCTCAAGCTCTGGAGTCAGACTGGGGTTCCAGTTACAGCCCCTCCTCTTACATCAGGTTGGCCTTGGGCAAGAGGCTTCACCTCTTTGAGACTCAGTTGTGTCCGCTACAAAGCGGGACAGATCAGCCGAGAAGAGTGGAAGGGTCTTAGCACCAGGCCTAGCATGGAATCTTCCTGGAAACATTATTGTCATTGAAAAGAAAAATGCTGTGGTCCAGAATGGCAGCTCCCTTAACTTCTGTCCGCACCATTGGCTTGAGCACCCTGCCCACCACCCCTCCTCCCCAACCCCTGGCTGCCCAGGGCACTGCTCACAAAATGCCCCTCTTCTCCTTCCTGAGGCTCCTGCTTCTCCATCTATGACAAGAAGGAGTGGGACCTCCAAGTGAGCTCTGAGGCCTGTTTTCCCCTGGGATCTGGGACATGTTGAACTTGAGTTGGGTGGGGGGGGAGCGGTCTGACAGCCCCGGGGGGCAGTGCCGAAATAAAGAAAGGCTGCAGAGTTGATGGCAAAGAGGCCAGGGTTTGCTCAGGGCTGGGCCAGCTGTCCCTGGAGTTCTCCTGTGTGGGGGTCCCGATTCCAGCTGACTCTGTAGCCAAGGTCGAGGAGTCAGTCCCAACAGTCACTGCTATTCCCTGTATGCCTACACTCGGTCATTTCATGCCCACACCATCCCCCGGGGAAAAGGTACAAGCCTTCTGGTGCCAAAACTAAGGTTGAGAAAGCTGGAGCCCGAGGTCGCAGTTTGGGAAGATGGCAGTGCCTGAGTGTTTTGTTTTTGTTTTTATTTGACTGTGCCCAGTCTCAGCGGCGGCACGTGGGATCTTCGATCTTCGTTGCGGCATGCGAACTCTTTAGTTGCAGCAGTGCCTGACTTTTGACCCAGCTCTTTCTGATTTCAAGGTCCACGGTTTATCCTTTAGGGGTGGGGTGGGGGTAGGGGTGGGGGTGGGGAAAGGGCTAAGAACTTTATAGTATTATCCCATCTCATCTTCACAACAAATTTCAAGTTTGGCTCGTTTTACAGAAGGAGAAACTGAGGCTTGGAAATAATGACTTGCCAGAGACCACAGAGTTGGTAGATTTTAGAGGTGGCCAGTTGTTTATATGAGGGATGTGTATCTAGAAGATACTGTTTGGGATCAGCTAAGGATGGGCTTCCCTGGTAGCTCAGCTGGTAAAGAATCTACCTGCAATGCAGGAGACCCCGGTTCGATTTCTGGATTGAGGAGATCCCCTGGAGAAGGGATAGGCTGCCCACTCCAGTATTCTTGGGCTTCCCCGGTGGCTCAGCTAGTAAAGAATCTGCCTGCAATGCGGGAGACCTGGGTTCAATCCCTGGCTTGGGAAGATCTCCTAGAGAAGGGAATGGCTACCCACTCTAGTATTCTGGCCTGGAGAATTCCATGGGCTGTATAGTCCATGGGGTCTCAAAGACTCAGACACGACTAAGTGACTTTCACTTTCACCTTTTCAAGGCTGGGGTGAGTCACAAGTTCCAGTTCATGGGTGGGTAGATTTACTTATGTGGTAGGTCGTGATTGGTGGGACATGGATGGGGTATGAAATCGTTTTCTGGAATGTACCTCATAGGCAGTGGATCACCTGTGTTGTGTGTTTGGTAAAATATCTGTGTCCCTGTGTGTGGAGTAACTTATGGTGTACAGGCTGCCCACCCAGTAGTTCTTGCACGTAACAGACATGCATGTGGCATGGCTGTCTCTATTGATCATAGACTTTATTTAATCTAAGATGCTGTCTATCGAGATCAAAAATTTGTTATTTTTACTATGGATTAAACTTTGACATTCCAGCGATCCCAGCCCACTTTTGGAAATAGGGAACTGCTCCCCTTAGACTGGATGAGACGCCCTATGTGTCGGTTTGTGAGAGGAGTAGCTGTGTGTGGCCTGTCACAGGTGTCAGACAGGTGGCAAGACCCAGAGTCAGCCCTAGGTAGCCCCTCCCAGGACTGTCCCTCCTTCTCCTCTATGTTTATCCCTTAGTCAGGTCTCCTGCCCAAAGCTCTTGGAACCAGGCTCAGATGTCCTTGGAGGAGCACAGGAGGAAGCCACCAGGAGATGAAGTCTTTTCCATCGGCCCTTATGGGATCTCTGTCCCTCCTTCCCTCCCTCAAGGTCCAGTACTTATCAACAAACAACTGGGCCAGCATCTTCACCCCACTTTACAGATGGGAAAGTTGAGGCCCTTAAAGAGACATGATTTAAACAGAGTTATCCGAATAGTGACAGAGCTAGTTCGTAAATTACCAGGTTCTGCCATCAGTGGGATTCTCCAGGCAAGAATACTGGAGTGGGTTGCCATTCCCTTCTCCAGGGGATCTTCCCCACACAGGGATCGAACCCAGGTCTCCCGCATGGCAGGCAGATTCTTTACCATCTGAGGCACCAGGGAAGCCCTAAATCTGGTCTCCTCATGCCAAATCCAGCCTCTCTTCTCCAGAACAATTGCTGCCCCCAACTTCCCACCCTAATTATCTAAGCTCCAGGGAGAAGATGGAGGGAGGAGAACAAGGCTACACAGGCTGGAGGAAGGGCTTCTAATTGTTGGAAGAATGTGAGAGGAGGCTTCCACACATCCCTCAAACACAAGCCGCCTCTCCCTCCGATGTGCCCATTCATTAATTCACTCACCGTTTCACTCATTCAGTCCTTTACTCACTAATCCACCATTTCACTCACTGATTCATTTCAATCTTTCAGTAATCACCCACTCATCAATTCATTCATTCATGTATTAGCATACCCTGTCTGTAATTCACCCACTCTTTTTTTTTTTTTTTAATATTTATTGACTTAGCTGCATCAGGTCTTACTTGCATCATGCAGGATCTCTTGTTATGGTGCATGGACTCTAGTTGCGGCACTCGGGTTCAGTAGTTGAGGTGCAGACTTAGTTGCTTCAAAGCATGTGGGGTCTAGTTTCCTGACCAGGGCTTGAGCCCGAGTCTCCTGCTTTGCAAGGTGGATTTTTAACCACTGGACCACCAGGGAAGTCCCTCACCCACTCGTTAATTCACTCCTTCATTAATTCACCCACCCACTCACTTACTAATGCCCTCTTTCACTAATTCACCCACCCTTGCCCTTATTACCAAATCCCTCTGCCTGGCCCTTCCCTCCAACAAAGGAGGACAAGCTCCCAGGCCTCCAAAATCATAGGTCCTTCTCCCCAGACCTGCACTTTCCACCTCTACCTCAAGACCTTATCTCCCCGGCTAGATCAGGAGCTCTTGCCCGTGTCTGTGTAGCGGGCAGTGAGGGCTGGAGGGGGTGAGAAGACAAGCATGAGCCATGAGTTGAAGGCCACAAGTCCCGAACAAAAATGCAGGCCCAGTCCCGAACAAAAATGCAGGCCCCTTGTTAAGGAGCCGAGAATGGCGCTACTCTGCCCAAGAGTGCACTGCTCAGGCGGCGTGCCCACGAAGCCCACTCTGGAGGGAGGAGAGAAACAAGGGAGATACGAAAGGGAGGCCAAGAGGGTGGGAGTGGAGGGAAATGGATGCTTGTTTGGTGTTTTCCTAACACCAACTCTTTTAATACTCAGACCACCCTTTGAAGTTGATTGTGCATTTTCCTAGAACAGGAAACTGAGGCTCAGAGAGGAGAATCATTTACCCAGAGTTATGATTAGTAGGTGGTAGGCGCCTGAACGTTAATCCAGGTCTAAGGGGCTATAAGCCTCCCTTCTTCCCTGGGGGTTGGGGGAGGCAGGGGGCGGGGGTGGGGGCAGCTGGAGGAGGTGACAAGGAAAGGAGTGATAGAGTCTGGGCCTGAGCACCTGGGCACAGCGGGGCTGGTGGTGCCCAGAGTGGGGTCCCGGGGAGCAGGGGAGGGGACCTAGACAGGGGTCTGGTCCTCTCAGTCCTTCCTGCCCCCAGGGAAGGCAGGAAACTGGAAGGGACCTCCTAGAATGAGGATCTAGAAGACTGGTATGTGGGGCCTGGGACCACACTTTTGATTCACGAGCATGAGGCCGCGTTTTCTCTGCAGGAGCACTGAGGCTCGGAGTCAATGATTTGGGAAGTTCCTGAGTTAGGGCGTCTTGGAGGTGGGTTGTCAGCGTCTGGGGGCGCATGTGAGCGTGTCAATATCAGCATGACTCGGGGTGACAGTGACTCAGAGAGTGGCTGAGTCAGGGTCCAGTGAGTGCTGGAGAGGCAGCGTGTGTCCATCATCTCACAGGACTGGTAACACGGTATTGGGGCGTTAGGGCCCCCCATCTGTTGTAAGAGCACCCCGGTGTCAGCCAGAAACCAACAGACAGCCAAATCCCCGGGGCCCCGCCCAGCCGGTCCACCAAGGGGGGAGCCGATTAACCATTAACCCCCACCCCTCCCCAGCAGAGCCTCCACCCCTGCGCAGAGGCTAGGCCCGGACTCCGGCAGACCCTCCCAGAGGACGGTTTGAAACGCAGGAAGGCAGAGAGGGCGCCTGGGAGGACGCCTGGGAGGAGGCGGTGGGAGGGCGGAGGGCGGAGGCCGGGGCTCGGCCCGGAGCCTTCGGGGTGGGCATCCTGGGCAGGGCAGGTGGCCGAGGCGGGGAGAGGGAGGATGCGCCTCTCCAAAACCCTTGTCGACATGGACATGGCCGACTACAGTGCCGCGCTGGACCCAGCCTACACCACCCTGGAGTTTGAGAATGTGCAGGTGTTGACGATGGGCAATGGTAGGTGGGGGCAGGTGTACCCAGGTACTGGAACGAGTCTGCTGCACTGGGCTTGGGGCTGGGGGGAGAGTGGTGGGTGAGCATGGTGCTCCCGTAGGTGAGAGCTCAGCGTTGCCAGGTGAAGTTGATGTGCCGAGGTACAGTGACCAGAAGCCTTCAGGGTGGCGGGGTGGGGGGGGTCTGCCAGGGCCAGTCTGCAGCAAAAGCAGGCCCCGGGTGTTCCTGCCAGGCCCTCGCGGTCCCTGTGACCAAAGCTGTCGCCATGCAGCGTGTCACCGGGAGCGGGGACTTCATGGTGAGCGTCCTCTCGGCGTCCAGCCCCGGTCATTGGGCCCAACGGGATCCCTGCTTGAACCCCTTGGGCCGAGGTCCAGAGAGATGGAAAGGTTATGTCCCATCCCCGGAGACGGTGGATGGAGACGTGACTATGTTTCAGCGTGTCTTTGGGACTTTCCTGGGGTGAACGCCCCACTTAGAGAAAATGGAGTTCTCATGGAGGTTTTGCTAAATGAGACGAGGATCAACACTGCGCATTCACACGTGCATTGTGTATGTATGTGTGTGTGTGTGTTCACGTGCACACACACACAAGCACATGGGTGTGTGATTGTAAGCTCCTGTTGGCATGGGTGCTTGAGTTTCCGTGTACACACGTGGGCAAGTGGTGGACTTTGTTGAAAATGTATGTCTGCAGGAATCCATTTGCATGTTTGTGTTCACTGGTCTGTGTGTGCACGTGTTCTCCGTCTGTTTCTAGCTGCATTTCTTCTCTGAGTGGGTCCGTGTTTGTTGTTATCTCTTGGGGTATCTGTGTTTATCTTGCTTATGTCCGTAAGTGGCAATGAGTGTGTGTACAGTAAGCGGCAATGAGTGTGTATACGGTAAGCAGTGATGAGAGTGTGTACAGTAAGTGGCAATGAGTGCATATACAGTCAGCAGCAATGAGTGTGTGTACAAGTGTCTGTGGACGTTTGCACAGGTGAGCTCTGGACGTGGATTGGCTTGCGTGTCCTGGGTTTCCCGGACGTATGTCCAGTTTGGGCATCCTGTCTTGTGCCCCTGTTTGTACCTGCTTTTGTACGTGTGCACAACCGTGTCCTGGGGGGTCAGCACTCTCCAGCGCTCATGTGATATGCCATTGCCGTTTGACACACGCGAGTCACATCGGCAACACGTCCATTTGTCTCTGAACGGATTGCGTTGCCTGTGTGCCTCCCCAGGTTTGCACATCTGAAGGGGTGGGGGGAGTTTTCTACAGGAAGGTGGGGGAAGGGAGCAGGCTTGGAAGGCCGGACGCCGGGGCCTGAGCAGTCGCAGGGCAGCCTCAGAGGAGGGGGCAGCCCACCCGCCTTCCTTCCACGGCTCTGCAGCCTTAGCCGAGCTCTGTAGCACTTGAGTCAGCTCAGCCAGAGAGAGGTGTCTGCCCTGCCCGTGGCCAGTGGGCACGATCCGTGGTCAGTCTCACCATCTGCTCGCCTTCCCCTGCCATTCACTCACTGTGTGACCTTGGGCATGTCACCTCCCCACTCCTTGCTCCTTCTGCAAAATGGGCTTAGTCACTCCAGGCCTGCTGGCTTTCAGGAGTGTCCAGGGATCACGTGAGGGAGCTGAGGGGAAAACATGTAGGCACTGGTAAACAAGAAGCTGCTGCACTAGGCGGGGTATGTGTGACCCCAGAGAGATGGTGTGTAAGACACCTGACCACCATCTAGCCCCACATCACCCATTCACAGTGGGTGCCTCCAGCTCCTAGGAAGTGTGTATTCCCGAGGCAGGGGCTTACCCGATGTCTTGAAGACGGGGCAGCTCTAGCTCTGGAGCCAGAAAGATCAGGGCTCAAATTCTGGCATCCATCCTTCCTACCAGTGTAAACTTATGAAGTCATGTGCCGCTCTGAGCCTCAGTTTTCTCATCTGTAAAATGGGAATAAATCATAGTGCCTGCCTCCCAGGGCTAACCAGAGGATCCCATATGATAAGGCACCTGAGGGCTTAGCACTGGTAACTGGTCCTGCGCCCTCCATGAGTCAGGTCAGGAACTCTGAGCATCTTTAAGAAGGGTCTACATTCCACATTAGAGTTTGAAGTGGGCCAGAAAGTTGGGGAGATGTTTTGCATATGTGCTACGTTGGTAGCTCAAAGGTTCCAAGCTCCCTACCCATCTCCCATTCCTGATTCAGAAGGAGCAGGGGGTGCTTGTTTATCAGAGGCTCCAGCAGACACCCCAACAGGACAGCACTGGCCAGATCAGCACCAGCCTGCATGCCTGGACCGTAAATCCAACTCCTCTATTTAGCAGCCGTGTGATGACTCGGCAGGTCCTGTCCTTTCTGAGCCTTGATGTTCTCACCTGGAGAATGGGCACCATCACCTGACCCTGGGGAGTAGGATGAGCTACTTGGCAGCACCCAGCCTATCCTGCCCAGAATGTGTGAGCCCTTCCCCCAGTCTCCGCCTGAGTTGTGGGGTCAGCTCTCCCGGTGGTTGGAGGAGGCAAGGCTGGAGGAGAAAGGGCACCAATGCAGCTTAACAATTATCCTCATCTCTAGGAATAATTCACCAAGTGGAGGGGGCCGTGCTCCTGGGCACCTCAGAGGCGACGAGATGTTCAGCCAGGACATGACAGAAATGAGATGTGGCAGGGTGTCTGCTTGTGCACGGAGGCTGGAAATCATCTGCTCCCAGAGGCTTCTTCTGCAGAAAAGTTTTTATTTTACAAACACTGATATAGTGCTTCTTACCTGCCAAGCACTTCACATATATTGATTCACTGGACCTTCATAACAGCCCTAGAGATTATTATGTGCCCCATTTCACAAGCGGAGAAGGCAATGGCAACTCATTCCCTGGAGAAGCCCAGGGATGGGGGAGCCTTGTGGGCTGCCGTCTATGGAGTCGGACAGAGCTGGACACGACTGAAGCGACTTAGCAACAGCAGCAACATTTCAAAAGTGAGGAAATGAAGGCACTGAGAAATACATTAATGTGGCCAAGGTCCCATGGCTAAGAAGTGGGCAGGCTCAGATATAAACTGGGCAGAAGTGCTAGAGAGATTATGCTCTTAACCACAGCACTATATCCCTGTTCAGTGCTTAGCTAGATGTACCCTAGGAGCCCATGATTGGATTCAGGATGAAAACACGTGTGTGTGTGTCTGTGTGTGTGTGTGTGTGTGTGAGACTTTGTGTGGTATGTGTCTGCAAGAATTTTTCTGGGGAGATGGTTCACAGTATCATCTTCTCTAAGAGGTCTATCCTTGGTGGAAGAGTTGCTTACAAAAACGAGGGTTCAGGTATGGAAATATAAGATAAAATTGAAAACGACTGAACCAGTCACTCTGCTCTCTTTTGCAATTAGGGAAACTGAGGCCCAGGGGAAACTGAAGCAAGGAAAAGGAACTTGCCTAAGTTCACAGACAACTTAGAGGCGGCACTAGTCCCCAAGACCACAGCCACCTGCCTCTTATCCCCTCCTCACAGAGATGCAGCAGTTTTTTCTTTTTTTTTGACCCCACAGTATGTGGGAATCTTACTTCCCTGACCAGGGATCAAACTCACTCCCCTTGCACTGGAAGTGTAGAGTCTTAACCACTGGACCACCAGCGAAGTCCCAATGCAGTAGCTTTTGTTATGGGGTGCCCAAATCCTTGCTATGATCCTCCCAGGAGGGCAAACAAGCCACTGTCCTTGATATAGGTCTTCCTGTTTCCTGGCAGAATTTGCAAGGCCCCTGAGTACCAAGCTGAGACTCACCCAGCCTTGGCCACTCAGTGAGAAATAGGACTTGGTTCTGGAGATGATGGGGGAATATTTGCTCCTCTCATAGCCCCCTCTGCCCAGCCAATCAGGGTCCACAACTGTTGGGCACATCCTAGGAGACAGCCAATTTCTTCATTCCTTCCCAGAGAAAGCTGAGGCTAGCGATTGCCACCACGGGGAGGAGCAGACCCTCGTTAAACAACTCTACGAAGTCAGTGTCACAACCATCCCTAAGTTATAGATACAAAACGGGAGTTCCAAAACAGCAAGGAGTGCTCACTTCGGCAGCACATATACCAAAACAGCAAGGAACTGCCAAAGTTCTTTGAAGGGGGGTCAGTAGCACTTGGGTCTAGCCAAGGCTGAAGCCCTTTAAAGATCCCCACAAAGCTCACATCCGTTTCTGAATCTAATCCACCAGGAGAGCAGGGCTTCCGAGAAGTGACTTTCTGCCCCTCCTGCATCCTCACTCTTTGCTTTTCTGGCGCAGACACATCCCCCTCAGAGGGTGCCAACCTCAACGCACCCAACAGCCTGGGAGTCAGCGCCCTGTGCGCCATCTGCGGGGACCGGGCCACGGGCAAACACTACGGTGCTTCGAGCTGTGACGGCTGCAAGGGCTTCTTCCGGAGAAGCGTGAGGAAGAACCACATGTACTCCTGCAGGTGAGGAACCTCGATTTCTCCATCCGGGAAATGGGTGCACTTGGGCTGATGTTCCCACAGGTCTGTCTTCTCCCTGGGTAGGTCTCGGAGCCATCTGCCCCTCAAGGCCTTCAAGCCTCTGATTTCTTCGCCCTTGCAGATCCAGATGGGAATGTCTATTCTAGACAGCCCTTTATTGAGCACTTTCTATGTGCCAGGCACCATATTGAGTTTTTGCCTGTATTAACTGCTCCTGGAAGCGCATTGTGATTTTTCCCATTTAGCAAATGGGGACCTCTGAGGCTTAGGCTCAAGTCTCCTCTGAAACCACAGAGGGTGAGGCCCATCTCCCAACCTGGTGCTTTTTCTGGGGTGGATTGGGGGTTGGCCCCAGGCCTTTCCACCTCTCTCAAGGCCTTGGAGAGTCATCCTTCAGAAGCATCTCCCCTTCTGGGTAACAATAATAAAATAATAGCAGCTGTAGTTACAAGCTCTTACTATGAACAGACACTGCATTGAGCCCCATTTGGGTAATTATCTCATTTTCACCTGTCAACACCCCTCTGCGGAGGTTACTATTATTATCTCATTTTATAGATGAGGAAGCTGTGACTTGGAGAGGACTGGGAATTTGCCCAAGGTCACCCAGCTTGAATCAACGGCAGAGCCCTGGGGTGACAGGGCACCACCCAGAACCACAGTGGCGCTTGCCTGCCTCTACTCCATATCCCTCTCCAAAAAGTGGCTTATGTGGACCAAGTACTGAAACTGATTCACAGCCAGCAGCCCACTCTGGGCTCTGGGCTTTTAATAAGATATATGGGGAATAGCAGTGCCTCTACTCATAGCTGAGTGATCTGAGGCCACGTGTCCACTCTCCGAGCCTGTTTCCTCATGTTTAGGGGGTCAGGGTTGGGCTCTCAGAGAGTCCACAGGGCCTTTCCAGCTCCTGGTTGGTTAGCTGGAGGACTCCTGGGATGAAAGGTTTGAGCAAGGAGCCTGGAGGTCAACCAGATGGCCAGGATCCTAGTTGAGCCCGGGGAGAAGGAGGGCTGTCCTTTCTTCCTCCAACCACCCCAAGCCCTCCCCAGGTTTAGCCGGCAGTGTGTGGTGGACAAAGACAAGAGGAACCAGTGCCGCTACTGCAGGCTCAAGAAGTGCTTCCGGGCTGGCATGAAGAAGGAAGGTGAGCCTCGGCCCCCTCCTGCCACCCCCCTGCCCCACCCGTACCCACAAGCTCCTGACAGCCATTTACAACTGTGGCCACAACTTTATGACTCAGTGACAGGCCCCAGGTGACTGGCTAATGGCTGAGAGGAGGGAGGGCCTGAAGATCTGCCCATAGGGAGGGGCTGGGCTTGGTCTTGAGAAAGATTCCAAGAGATAAGCTCCTTCTTTCAGCTACTCGGGTTCCCAGCACCACCTCCCCTGCCTGCCTTTGCCACCACAAGGCAGCCAGGTTGGGTGTTTTTTCTTTTTGTTTTCTTTAAAGTGATTTTATTTTTTCATTTTTTGGCTGCACTCCTCGGCATGTGGAATCTTAGTTCCCTGACCAGGGATTGAACCTGTACCCCTTGCAGTGGAAACACAGAGTCTTAACCACTGGACCATCTGAAAGTCCCTGGCTGTTTTTGCTTAGTGTACTATTTCAAGCATCAGGAAAAATGTAGAGAATGGCATGACGAACTTCCATGGCCCCATGACTAGACTCAGCAAATGTGAACGGGGACGGGGCGGGGCTCTATCCCCCATCTTCCTGTTTCAGAGTCAAGTGCCCCAGTTCCTTAGTCTTCGTTCTTGGATATCACATGACCCAGCGTCCTCAGGCTCTGGAAAAATGGAACAAGGCATCAGACTTGTTCTGGGTGGAGGAGGCTGGGAGTGCTGGGGCACAACATTTATTAGGGTGTCTCCTGCCTCCCGACACCAGTAGCTGGGCTTTTCCACCTGGCTGGGCTTTTCCACCATCGATAGTTCTTTTCATTATCATGTCAGCCCTGCAGGGTGCTATTATCACCCCCACTTTTCATAGACAGGGGAACTGAGGCCTAGAATGGGTCAACAACTTGCCTAAGGCCCCCCCAGTTGGTCGAAGCAAGCTCCGAAGTTTGAACCCCAAGCTTTGGTCTTGAGCTCAATGTGGTTTGGATGATACCTCGATGCTGCCTGCATCCAGATTCTAGGAATGTTTGAAAGTTTTCTAGCCCAAGCTCAGGAAACAAACATCTTTTAACTGCTTCTCTGAGTAACTTGAGTCCATTTTTAAATCTGTCTCTTTCTCTGCTCAACACACCTTTCCCAGCCCTGAGACTGGCTCCCAGACCTTCACTTCCAGCCCGCAGCTGCGGCACACTAGCCAAAACCCTTGGTCTAGTTCTGCACAAACACATACCTGCTCCACCCACCCCCAGCAAGATTCTGGGACCCAGCCTTCCCCCGGCCAACCGGGAAGAGGGGAAACTTGGCTTTGGCAGTCTCCCCTCCCTGACTCTGCCTCTGAGCCCCTGTTTGTCTGCCCACCTCCTGGGAAATATCCTCTGGGTCTCATCCCTATAGGGCCCTGAGAGTTTATGACCCCGGCTGCAAAACCTGGGCTGTGACCCTCAGGAACACGCCATGATGCTCGCAACACCATGCTTCTCTCATCTGGACCTCAGTGGTTCTCAAGAGCAAGGAAAACCTTTTTCAAAGGGCAGATGCCCCCCCAGCTCTCCCCCACCCAGTTTTCAATGGGATTGACCAATCTCACCTTGAACTTGAGCACAACTTTGTCGAATGAGAAATGTTATGAATGAGGGACTTTCCTGGCTGTCTAGTGGTTAAGACTCTGTACTTCCACCACAGGAAGCGAGGGTTCAATCCTTCATCGGGCAATTCCTATCCCGCTTTCAACAGGCCATGGCCACCAAAAAAGAAAATAAATAAATAAAAGAGATGTCATGAGTGGGAATATGAGGCTGTGTGAACAGCTAGGGCCTTTCCTGGTGGCTCAGCGGTAAAGTGTCTGCTGACAGTGCAGAAGATGCAGGAGACCCAGGTTCAATCCCTGGGTTGGGAAGATCCCTTGGAGGAAGGCATGGCAACCTATTCCAGTATTCTAGCTTGGAGAATCCCATGGACAGAGGAGCCTGGCGAGCTTATAGTCCATGGGGTCACAAAGTCGGACACAACTGAAGCAACTGAGCACACACATGAATAGCTAGAGGCAAGGAAACTATTGAGAGCTACAGTCTAAGAGTCAAACAGTTTAGGGTTCTACCAGCCAGTGATTCTAGCAGCTCAACAGCCTAAGATTTTATGTTTGAGAGAATGAATCTCTTGTGTTAAAATTCCAAGCCTTGTGACAGGTGGGAGGGAGAAAGGTTGCCAGCTCACCTGAGCAGACAGCTACCGTGCTAGGTTGTAGGTAGCCTGTTCCTGCATCTCACTGTTCTTTATAGGTGTCTCCTATCAAACATTCAGAGTCACTTTCATGTGCTACTTCAGTGGAGTTTCTGCCCCATCTGGGCTTCAGTGTTCACATCTATAAAATCACTGGGTGGATAATGAACCCTTCCAGCTCTGTCTTGCTACATGCCCACTGATCTACCTGTGCAAGTACACACTGCCCACCAGGACGTGTGTGTTTGTTCCCTGGTCCTCCCACTGGGCTGCCGCAGAGATGGCAGGCCGAGGGGAAGGAGAGTCCCCAGCCATTCTACCTTGGCTTAGCCTTGAAAATAGCCAGTTGCTTCTTATCTTGGAGAAGGTGGCATTATGCCAGGAGGAGAGGAGAAAATCAGCTAATGGCAAGTGCGTGTGGGCTGTAGGAAAGGCTGGTGGTTATTTGCATGCTTGGGTTAACCAGAAGATCATGACATATGCAGTGGGCTCAGCTGCTTTGAGAACAGGCCAGGGTAGCAAAAGTTTCCATTGCCATTGTGGTCAAGTTCTGGGAAGTAAGGGCATGACTAGCTCTTGTTGTTATTGTTCATTTAACAAATGAACTTAACAAGTCACATCCAACTCTTTGCAACCCCATGGATTGCAACACGCTAGGCTTCCCTGTCCTTCACTGTCTCCTGAAGTTTGCTCAAACTCATGTCCATTGAGTCAGTGATGCCATCCAACCATCTCATCCTCTGTCATCCCCTTCTCCTCCTGCCCTCAGTCTTTCCCAGCATCAGGGTCTCTTCCAGTGAGTCAGTTCTTCACATCAGGTGGCCAAAGTATTGGAACTTCAGTATCAGTCCTTCTAATCAATATTCAGAGTTGATTTCCTTTAGTATTGACTGGTTTCACTAGCTCTACCTAAGTTTTATAGTCCCAATACCCCTCCTTGGCTTGGTGGGAGGTTCTCAGAGCCAAAAGAGATTCTCAGTGGAAGCCCCAGGGATTGGGAGAGTTGGGACAAGTTTTTATTTCCCTTCTTTGATGGCCCTAAGAGAATCTGGGAATTAGAACTCCAAAGTTGTCTCTGAGGACAAGAAAGCATGGATTGTAAATGTAGCATTCATAGACCAGTTGGATGTATAGGAAGTCATCAAATCTCTCCATTTTACAGATGGGGAAGTTGAGACCAGAGAGGTAATATGATTGGGTCAAGGGCAGAGGAAGTCAGGACTAGACCTCAGGCTCCCCAGAGCTGAGCAGACACCAAACTGCCTGGATGAGAACTAGAACTGATGGCCTTGGGAGGCACCTAGATTTGGTCAAGTCTCCTGAAACTTCCTTTCAACCACAGAGAAGGGCTCTGAATCTCAAAGTCTTGTGAGTTTGGCCAGAGGATATTCCATGGTGGTCAAGTGGGTTAAAGAACGGAGACTCTGGGAAGAAATCTGGGGGTCAGTGGGCCCAATGGCAGGTCCCAAATTCTTTCCTATAAACCTACACCTACCTGAGCCTGAGCTGTCAGACCCAGGACAAATGTCTGACTCTCGATATTGGAAATTCAGCCCAGGATATAGGGTCAGAGATGCAGGAGGGACAAGCTGGTGGTAGGCCAGGGGCCCACAGATGGGCCCTTCCTGGGATCCCCAGCCCAGCCCCCCCTTCCCATACCCCCACTCAGGGGTTCTCTCAGAAGACAAGCTCATCCTCTCTGCCTCTGCCCAGGGCCGGTTAATATTCAATAGAAGTTACATTTAGGTCCCCGACCCTGCTAATACTGAGCAAACATTTGGAAAACATCATTCCGTGACTGAGCTCGCGCCGGGCACTGATAACGCCGGCCTAACCTTGAGGAGCCCAATCCCCAGCTGCTGACAGCAGCCCTTTTCTTAGGCCCGCCGCCACTTGGCGCCCTGGTGGGTGCGGGCTGGCAGCTGCGGGAGGGGCGTTGTGGGCGGGGCAGGACCCGGGCAGGGGAGCGCTGCTGGGAGCTGGCCCCCTGTCCAGGGTGGTGGGCCTGGGAAGAGGAGTTTTCTTACCTTGGACCTCTGTTACACCCCACTAACTCTGGGTTCCCTTTACACTATCTGGCTTTTTAAAAATTTTTTGGCCATACCACGTGGCTTGTGGGATCTTTAGTTCCCTGACCAGGGATCAAATTTACGCTCCCTGCATTGGAACTGCAGTCTTAGCCACTGGACTTCCAGGAAAGTCCTACACTAGCTGACTTCCGTTCTCTGATTTCAACGATGTTTGAAATCAAGAGGGAGTTGAAGAGCAGAATGTCAACATTCCATTGAGAAATGGGGCGTAGATTGCACCCGAGAATCAAAGCTTGTCTCCTGCACCTTCTTTCGGCCACTCAATGAATATTTATTGAGCACCCATTGCGCGCCAGGGTTCTAGTTGCTGGGGCTATAGCAGTGGATGAAAGGGAAGATATTCTGGCTTTCTGGCGCTTTCTTTCTCTTACACAGACAGAGAGTGAAGAAAGGACAGAGAACAAGTACCAAGAAGAAAAATAAAACAGGAGAAAGGGGCAGAACCTGCAGGAGGGATATCCCCATCAGACAGGGTGGTCAGAGAGGGTGTTTCTGAGAGGTGATATTTGCAAGGAGACATGAGTAAAGAGAGCGGGAGAAGCTTAGTTGTGGGGGATGGGGTGTGGGTGGAGGGAAAATTCCAGGCAGTAGGAACAGCAGTGGCAAAGACTGGAGAGTGGCTGAGTGAGTCCCAGGAACGGCTGGGAGGCAGGTTTGATAGAGAGAGTAAAAGTGAGATGGGGGAGATAGGACCACCATGAGGAAGGGTGACCTAACCCCAGGTATGATGGGGAGGTCCTGGGTTTCCGCGGTGGAGGGATGTGACCTGAGTCGGGTTTTAGGGGATCCCTTTGTCTTCCGAGAGGTGCACAGACTGCAGGGGTAAGGCCGGAAGCAAAGCAGGCCGAGAGGAGGGTCTGAACTCCCTCAGGACCCAGCCCAGAGTGGGAGCTGCCGGTGGGTTTGCACGGATTACTGACGGCATTTGGAGTGTGTGTGTGTGTGGTGGTGGTGGGGTGGTGGGCAGGTAGGTGAGAGAACGAGACATAGCAAGGTCCCTAGGCTGGGAGGAAGGATAAAGTTGCCTGTTCCTGAGATGGGAAAGACCAAGAGGAGCAGGTCTGGGAAAGAAGCTTACAGATGGGGGAACTGAGGCCCAGAGAGAGGGTGTGGCCCCCACCAGCACATGGAGACTGAGTGGCGAACCCCACCAGGAGCCCAGGTCTCCTGCAGCCTCGTCCGCCCTCCTTACAGCCTCAACCAAGGCCTCCCGGACCCCAAAGGCCTGTCAGGGCAGCAGAAGGAGACTTAGCCCAGCACTGACCCAGGTGGAGGTGCAAGGGGGTGTGGGGCCCAGTGGACAGAGGCCCCAGATCTCTGAGTTCCTGGGAGGGGAGCCCCATGGTGGAGTAGGAGGGAGCCAGAGCTTTCATGAGCTGTCTCTGAGAAGGTTAGCCTAGAGCACATGTGCTTCCTACTGATGACTGAGACCCCAGGGCAGGTGGGGCCTCCAGACACCCTTCTCCAGGCTTCTGCCTCTGTACTCAGGAGTCCCTGGGCCATCTCCATCACCCAGAGCAATTCATTTTGCTTGTCTTATCCACTTTCACCTGGAAAGGAAGGGACCCTTTTCTAAAACACAGCTTGAAAACCTGTCATCGAGATAGATCTCCTACTCAAAGTTCAAGACCCGCCTGAAGCCCTCTGCCAAGTCATCACAGCCTTGCATGCCTCCCATGATGGGTAGATCACTCCTCAGGCCGCCGTGTTGTGTGAGGAGCAGTGGTGGTGCTGGGAGAGTTCTCCCACAGGCTGGCTTAGGAGCCGTTGACCCCCATCCCCACACGCTGACCTGGGCTCTGTGGCCTGGACACTCTCCCTCCCGCCCCGAACTCCCACCTCCGAGTGCGTTCCCTTTGCTCCTGGACAGCCCTGCAGGACAGCCCTCCAGGCTCACCTCTCTCCCCTCGTCCTTCAGCCACCCCTCCTGCCATGGGACCCCTCTCCTCCCGCTCACCCGCTCTGCCTCCTCACAGCTGTCCAGAATGAACGGGACCGGATCAGCACTCGCCGGTCCAGCTATGAGGACAGCAGCCTGCCCTCCATCAACGCGCTCCTGCAGGCCGAGGTCCTGTCCCAGCAGGTACCCGGGGAGCCTCCCCCACCCAGCTGGGGCCTCCTCATCCCAAAGAGGAATCAACTCCACCCCTTTCCTCCCCACCCGGGCCTTGGAGCAGCAGACGGGAGGGCCCTCGGACATCACGAAGGGAAACAGTCCAGGGTCACACAGCCCATTTAGTAGCAGAGACTCAAACCCCGGTGGGTCCGATGGTAAAGAATCCGCCTGCAGTTGCCTGGGTTCCACCCCTGGGTTAGGAAGATCCCCTGGAGGAGAGCATGGCAACCCACTCCAGTATTCTAGGGGGTCCATGGAGATCTCCCGTGGACAGAGGAGCCTGGTGGGCTGCAGTCCATGGGGTCGCAGCCAGTCGAGCATGACTGAGTGACAAGGCACAGCACAAACCCCAGCTGGCACCTGGCGGCCCCGTGGGGCCTGCAGTGCGTAGGCCAAGCCGTCTCCACTCTCACCGAGGGTCTGAGATGGGCTTCGCCCCGAGAGAAGAGAGGAGTGGGCAGGCGGGCAGAGTAGCACATGGGCTCAGCCAGCCCCCCTTGCTGTGTGACCTTAGGCGAGTCGCAGGGCCTCTCTGGGCAATGGTTTCTGCACCTTCCGATGAGGATGGGGACTTTTGCCCTGCTTCTCCTCTAGGGCCGACGGGTGTTTTTAGGCTTCAAAGGAGCCGGTGGAGGAGGAGGTAGGGGGCGAGCAGCAGATGAAGGCCCAGAGAGCCTCTTTGGCATCCTCCCTTTCCCTTTCCAGTTTCCCCAGAGCGTCCTTCAGAGCTGAGAAGGCGCCCACAGTCCAGCTCCTCTTTCCCAGGCAGGGAAGCTCTCTGGGGGTGGGGGCTCTCTGCAGGGGACAGAATATATGGAGGGGATATCCACCCCAGTGTTTTCCTCCGCCTCCCCTAGATCACCTCCCCTGTCTCTGGAATCAACGGCGACATTCGGGCGAAGAAGATCGCCAGCATTGCGGATGTGTGTGAGTCCATGAAAGAGCAGCTGCTGGTGCTCGTCGAGTGGGCCAAGTATATCCCAGCCTTCTGTGAGCTCCCCCTGGATGACCAGGTGAGGGTGGACACGGTCTGCAGGCAGTGCGGGCCCTGGGTAGGTGGGTCCTGCTGCTCCCCACCCCACCAGATATGGCCTTGGACTGGTTCGATTTGTGTGCATGGAGCTGTTTAAATCACTTTACAAATGTTAGCTCATTTAATCCTTCTGACAACCCTAGGGAAGGTAAGTGCTATTATGACCATCATATAGGTGAGGAAACTGGGGACACAGAGAGGTTAAATAACTTGCTCAAGGTCACACAGCTAGTGTCCAACACAGCTGGTATTAGAACAAGCAGGGAGGCTTCGAGGTCCAGGCCCGTAGCCTCTGCACCGCTTCATCTGACAACTCTCCCAGGCAGGATGTGGATAGGGACTCAGGGTTAGGGCTTAAGCTGTGGCTCTAAGAAAGATTCTCTGTGTCATCTTGGACAAGTTACTTCCTCTCCCCGAGCCTCCGTTTTCTCATCTGTAAAGTATGAATTGTAATATCCCCTTCAGAAAGGTGTTGGGAGGATGGAGAACATGCCATTTAAAAAGCGTCAGTGGTGTAACAGGACACCTACACAGTCCTGGCCTCCCTAAATGTCAGCTTCTTCCTTGTATCCCACCAAGATGGATTTTCATTCAGCATGTTATTTCCCAAACTACCTTCTTTGGAATACCAAAAATGTCTTAGAGGGAAAAGCTGGGGCTGAGGGATGGGGCGCTGAGGACAATCGAGTTCCTAAGTACTTGATCAGGGCGCCCCCCGAGGCCTCTGTAGACATTTTCTTTGTCTGGGAAAGAGGAGCTGAACTGGGGCATCAACTCAGTTCCTATGGAAGCTGGGCGGCACCAATGGACAGTGTTCCAGATACTGGCTCCTGGTACATTTGCTTCTCTGTTTTGTAATTCTGCACAGAAGATTGGCAACATGTGTCGGCCTCTTAAAGTTTCTGAAAAGTCCTCAGGCAAGGCAGCTGTTGAACCTTGGGAAGCCAGGGCTTCTCAAAGTCCTCTGGTGCCCAGGCGCTTCTGGAATGCATTTGCGTCACGTGGTGGAACACAGTGTGAAAACCCTGGCTTGGCTGGTCCTCACCCTCACACAGGGGTCAGATCGGATGCCTTCTCACACAGATTCCTTGCTGCTTCAGGAGGGATGACAAGGCAGGGATCTTGGCCAGGCTGCCCTGGCCTTCTTCCCTGCTCCTCGTGTTCTGGCCCTGGTCCCCTCTGCTGGAGAGGCTCCATTAATGTTTAATCCCTCCTGTTCCTTCCCAGGGGCTCAATAGGACAACAAGATTCCCCCCACAAGCTGAGCAATTGTTAACCTCCATTTCCCACCCAAACCTCCCTGGCTGGGCTCCCTCTCTGAGCATTCTCAGAGAGCAGTGATGGGTGGCCAGTAACACAGAATAATCATTAACAGCACCACCCACCACCTGCCCACCCCCAGAACAGTCATGTTAGGGGGCTGGACCCAGGGCCAGGAGGGTTCCCAGCTCCCCATTCATAGTGTATAAGGAGCTTATCTTGCCAGTGATGGGTGGGGCACAGCTGGGAGAACTTGGGGATGTTGTCCATCAACATTGCCCCAGGAACCAAGTGTGTTTGCTTCTTGGTTTGTTTTGGGCATCGACCCACTGAAACCTAGAAGGCTGGGTAGCATTGGATAAGGGGATGGAGGCTTGGAGAGAAAGAGAGATTTGCACAAGGTCACAGAGCAAGACAGCCACAGGGTTCGACTCTAGGTCTTCTGTCCCTCAATCACAGAGACACTGCAGTAAGTGACGAAAGTCCTGCATGGTGCCTGAAGTGTAGGAAGTGCTTGATAATCAGCCTGCTCTGGTCTCCTTTTGTCCTGGTCATGGAAAGGGAGTTCTTACCCTCCTCCAAGGCTGTTTGCCATTCCCCCTCTTTTCCTGTCATCGTCAGGCTTCACCTTGGGGGTTCACATGTAAGGACATGGCTGCAACAGGGGCTCAATCTGGGAGGATGTTAAATAGACTGGCTCATCCATTCACCTGTCCCTTTGTCTTTCATTCAAACAAATATTTATTGAATGCCTACTGTGTGCCAGGTGTCCTCCTTGCCTTAGAACAACCTCATGTCCTTAGCGAGGCCTTTTATGATTTATCCCATTGCTCTTCATCGCATGAGCCTCTTCTTCCTTTCTTCTTCCCCTCCTTCCTTCCATCCATTTATTTCTTCTTTCTTTCTCCCTCCCTTCCTCTCTCCTTCCTTCCTTCTTTCTCCTCCTCCCTCCTTCCTTTCTTTTCACTATTGTGTCCCCAAACAAGCATCCGGCACTTGTGGTTGTCATTCAGTCTCTCAGTCATGTCCCACTCTGGGGTGAGACCCCATGGACTACAGCACATCAGACTTCCCTGTCCTTCGCATGTCCATCGAGTTGGTGATGCCATCCAACCATCTGATCCTCTGTTGCCCCCTTCTCCTCCTGCCTTCAATCTTTCCCAGCATCAGAGTCTTTTCCAATGAGTCGGTTCTTTTCATCAGGTGGCCACAGTATTGAAGCGTCAGCTTCAGCGTTAGTCCTTCCAATGAATATTCAGGACTGATTTCCTTTAGGATGGACTGGTTGGATCTCCTTGCAGTCCAAGAGACTCTCAAGAGTCTTGCTCAGCACCACAGTTCTAAAGCATCAATTCTTCAGCACTCAGCCTTCTTTATGATCCAACTCTCAAATCCATACATGAATCTGGAAAAACCATAGCTTTGACCAGACAGATCTTTATTGGCAAAGTGATGTCTGGCACTTAGTAGGCACTAACATCTGATGACTGTAAGAATGAACAATCCAATGAATTAATGCATAAAAGCATTTTTGCTTCCTAGTTTAGTCTGCTAAAGAATTTCCAAACTCCCTAACCCAACCTTGCAGATAAGATCCTTGAGGCTAAAAAAAAAAAAAAGATCCTTGAGGCTACCAGCCTGCTACCATTTGACCAGTCCCATCCTTGGTCCTCATGCAAGCACTGAAGCAGGTGGTTCTGAAAAGGCAGGTGATGCCCTCCTGTGGGCTGGCAGGGCTCCCACCTACCAGACTCCAGACTCAGACTTCAGTCTTCCAAGTCTTCTCTGTCCTCTCTGCAGGGAAGGAGTTGGTCAAGTGGATCCCTGACCAAGGACCAGTGCTCACACCCTTTGCCTTGGGAACCAGCATCCATGTCCAGATTCTTACAACAGAATCTAGAATCTTCTAGCTTCAAGTGGGTGGATGCTTAGAGATCTCTTGGAGCAGTGATTTCCTAAACACAACCATGCATCAGAATCAACTGAGGAGTTTATTAATTTCAGATCCCTTGGGCCCACCCCAGACAAAGAGAGTCAGTGCCTTGGGTAGTAAGGCCTAAGAATCTGTGTTTTACAAAACACCCTTCATCATGTTACATAGCTGATCCATGAGTTGTAATTCAGAACCCCCCAAAAAGCTCTAAAAGTTTTAGAACTTTTTGGGTTTGTAGACCCTCTTGAGAGACTGATGAAAGCCTTTAAGTCTCTGCTAAGACACACACACAGAGTGTTGTTACAATTTTACCAGGCACACAGACACTCAGAGAGGCCCGGAGGGGAGCAGCAGCTTACCCCGAACGCAGCAGTTCAAGGGCAGAGTTGGCATTTGGTGTCGCGGCTCTGAGCACAGGTTGTTTCCCCTTTCAGGGGTCAGCCGAAGCTTTTCCATGTTTCTAGTTTTATCAGTTATAAGAGGAAGGCAGCAGTTTTCTGATGCCCATCTTATCATTCAGACAGGTAAAGGCAAGTAGAACACTAATGCTGACTTGCTCAGGGTCACTGGCGGGGAGCAGCCTCCCCAGGAGTGTAGATGCCTTCCCAGGCATGCGGACACCGGACGCCATTCCCTCTCTCTTCCAGGTGGCCCTGCTCAGAGCCCACGCCGGCGAGCACCTGCTGCTCGGAGCCACCAAGCGCTCCATGGTGTTCAAGGATGTTCTGCTTCTAGGTGAGGATCTGTCTGCCCAGCCAGGGCTCTGCAGGGACATGCCCAGCGTGGAGCGCACCTGGGTATGGGAGATTTCCATGGTGGTGTGCAGAGTGAGGGAAGCAGATCAAGGATGGTCTTGTCCTCAGTATTCTCAACTGGATACCCGATTCAGATGCAAGGAAATGTGGACTCAAGGAATTAAATTCCCCAGCATTCACGTTACAGCACAGTCAGGCTTAGCCCTGGGATAACCTGTGCATTCAGGTGTACTTTCTGGAGAGGGAGCAAAAGGCAGCCAGGAATGGCACAAACCCCCAGTCTGTGTCACCTATGCCTTCATAACATGTGTGTTTATTATTCTAACTTCTTATATAGGGCACACCATGGGTCCTAGTCTGAGTACTTTACAAATACTAACTCCTCTAGTACAATGACCCAATGAGATAAGCTCTATAATTTATTCCCATTTTATAGGTGGAAAAACTGAGGCACAGAAAGTAATTTATCCAGATAGGTCTGGCTAGTCAGTTGAAAAAGCAAGATTCAGCCCAGGTGATCTAATTCCAGAGCCCGAGCCCTTAACCTTGGTGCTTTTATGCCTCCCAAGCAGCCCTTGAATGTCATCAGTCTTGTGGTCTGTTGTCGCCATTGAAGAATGGAGCTTGGGTGATATGAAAGGGGTCCTAAGAAGTCAGGCTCTGGGCCCAGTCCAATGCCTGCAAGTCACTCATACCTTTAATCTGGGCCTTGGCTTCCTCATCTGTAAGATGGGCGTGACAGTCCCCACCAGCCCCTCCTCCCGTGGGCAGCCGCTGCATTTATAACTGCAAACAGCAAAAGCTGGAGGAGAGCGGTACTCCCCGGTGCTTCCCATCCCCTCTCCTTCCCAACCCACCCAGGCAATGACTACATCGTCCCTCGGCACTGCCCGGAGCTGGCGGAGATGAGTCGGGTGTCCGTGCGTATCCTCGATGAGTTGGTGCTGCCCTTTCAAGAGCTGCAGATTGATGACAACGAGTACGCCTGCCTCAAAGCCATCATCTTCTTTGACCCAGGTACAGCCCACTCCTCCCACCCTCCCCTGATGCCCCAGACCCTCTGTCCAACTGCTCCCACTGGGTTACGAACCCTGAGTTTGCCAACTCATCTCTAGTACAACAATCAGGAGAAGACATCTTTATCAGCTCCATTTAACAGATGCGGAAAATCGAGGCTCAAATGACTGATGTGACAGTGGGGCATACTGACTCCAGAGGCTTGGTTTTTGTCTTTCCCATCTTACCTTTCTTTCCCATCTTACCTTTCTTTCCCTTCCTCTCTGCTTTCTGTTCCTTATCTCCTACCAACCTCTTTTTCTTTCCCTCAAAAAAATTTTTTATCAAAATAATATCTGCACATACTTAAAATGAAAATAGTCCTCCCCACTCTACTTTTCCTGTCCAAAGCCTACTCGCCAGAAGGAACTGTTTCTGATTCTTTATACTGTTTCTTTTTATTGCCACCTCTCCAGCTCTAAATAAAATGCTAACCTTTCTACTTCTTGATTTATCCATTTTAAAATATATTTTTTCCTCCTATGATCGTTGAGAATTGTATTTTTCCCCATCACCACTCCATCTTTTCTCTCCCATCATCCTAATACATTTTTCTTGCTATTTCAGTGTCTTTACTGATTGCCTCTATAATGTTCTGCACTTATGCTTTTATTTCTTGTCCCATCAACTGTCGGCAGTATCTCTTAACCCTTCATTAGCAGGATAAAGATAATGTATTTGCATTCTCCCTCTTCCATCTACCGACCTTCCACCCATTTTCACACTTTTTTTTTTTAAGATTTTTTTCAATGTGGACCATTTATAAAGTCTTTATGGAATTTATTACAATATTGCTGCCGTTCTATGTTTTGGTATTTGGCTGCGAGGCGTGTGGGATCTTACTCCCAGACCAGGGATCAAATCCACACCCCCTGCCTTGAAAGAGGAAGTCCCCACCACTGGGCCCCCATACAACATTTTTGTTGTTGTGATTTTGTGAAAAACCTGTTTTCATTTCATGATGTCAAGATGGACACCCAGTCTCCAAAGCTTCCTTGCTTTCTTCTGTCCTTCCATGTTAGAGAGGTCCTACTTTGTGCCAGGCACCGTCCTTAGTGCCAAGCCCTCTCTGAATGGAGATTGAGTCTAGTAAGCATAGTGAGGAAGCGGAAATGAGCACTGTGTCTGGAGCACTCACTAAGGCTCTTGTTGATTTCACTCGTTACTTGCAACATGGTATCTATGAGGTAGGAATTGCTATTATCTCCATTTTACAGATAAGAAAATTGAGTCACAGGGAGATTGATAGACTTGCCCCAGGTCACAGAACTAGGAAATGGCAGAGCTTGGATTTGAACTTCAGACTCTTCAGCTCTCAAGCCCATGTTCCTACCTATCACACGCTATTCCTGGTTTCTTGAGGGGATAAGATTTCTAGTTGCATTTTCCTCCAGAGCCTGGCCCAGGCTGTGTACCCTGTGGTGCTTGGCATGGGGCTGGATGACAGTAACTGCTCAGTAAAATGTGCAGGATTACTGATGCTGAGTCAGGGTCAGCAGCCTGGCCTGGAGGGGCTGGTGACCTACGTCAGGGCCGGGCATGTGGGTGGTGCTCAATAAATGTTTATTGACTGAATGATAGAATGCACAAATGTGGCTCAGGAGAGAGCGAGCCCTGTGTTGGAAATGTGGGTGAAATTCTCTTTTTGCTGCTTACTTTATCCATAAAAGAGACAATAGATGTCTTCCATGAAAGTTGAGATTAACTATTGAATAACCACTTCAATTACTTTCCCAGTTAAGAATCTAAAATTTATCCATCGCTTTTTTTTTTTTCACTCATTCACCCTTTCATCCATGTACCCATCCCTTCATCTAGTTATCTGTTCAACAAATATTGACAATGCATTGTGCTAGGTGGTAGGTTTAAAAGATGCATGTATGCTGTACAGAGATCACAGTCTAGTGGAAGAGACATTCCATCCTGTGTGCTCAGTAGTGACGAAAGAGCCACAGAAGTCTGGGGACCCCATGAACACCCAGAGTGCAGACCTGGTAGGATGGAATGGAGAAGGCATCCCGGAGGAAGTGTGATCTAAGCTGAGACCCCAAGACCACACAGGCAAGGGAGCAGGCCAGCGGGGAGACTGATGAGGCAGCAGAAGAAGCAGTGCTGAGGCCTGGATGGTGGGGCTATTTTTTTTTTTTTTCCTTTTTGGCTGAATCGTGAGACATGTGGAATCTTAATTCCCCAACCAGGGATCAAACCACCATCCCTTGCATTGGAAGGTGGAGTCTTAACCACTGGACTGCCAGTGGGACCTTAACTGGGAATCAGGAGCCCTAATTCCACATCATGGATCTGCCAACAAGTGGTTTTGTGGTCTGGGCCAAGTCCTTTCCTTTTTGTGTGCCTTGGTTTCCCCATCTGTAAGATGAGAAGGTTACAAGGTGCCCTCTTGGGAGTGTTCCTGAAGTCTTACCCCAGCACTGCTAGGATTCCCTAGGTGCCCTCGAGTCTAGGTCTCCCATCAGAGCCCCCTGAGTAAGGGGACATTGGGTCCTACCTCCCCAGACGCTCCAGGTTGGCCCTCTGCCTCCCTGGCATGATCCCTCCCATTGCAGATGCCAAGGGGCTGAGTGACCCAGGCAAGATCAAGAGGCTGCGTTCCCAGGTGCAGGTGAGCCTGGAAGACTACATCAACGACCGCCAGTACGACTCGCGCGGCCGCTTCGGCGAGCTGCTGCTGCTGCTGCCCACCCTGCAGAGCATCACCTGGCAGATGATCGAGCAGATCCAGTTCATCAAGCTCTTCGGCATGGCCAAGATCGACAACCTGCTGCAGGAGATGCTGCTGGGAGGTTAGTGTCCAGCCTGGGAGGGGCTGAGAGGTGGGCAGGGCTGGAGGCCACTTCTCCAAGAGACCAGCCTCGCTCATGCAGAGCTGCGTTCACCTCTCAGCTCCACTTCCTCACTCTGTGAAAAAGTGCAAGTGTTAGTTGCTCGATCATGTCCAACTTTTTGCGACCCCACGTACTCTGCCCATGGGATTCTCCAGGCAAGAATACTGGAGTGGGCTGCCATTGCCTTCTCCAGGTGATCTTCCCAACCCAGGGATCGAACCCGGGTCTCCTGCGCTGCAGGTGGATTATTTACCATCTGAGCCAGTGGGCGGGGCTGGGGGAGGTAGCCTCTCTAAGAGACAAGCCTCATGCAGACCTGAGCTCACCACTCAGCTCACTCCATCACTTCCTTGCTCTGTAGCTTTGGGCAAATCCTTTTATCTACTGGAGTCTCAGTTTACTCGTCAGGAAAATGGGGACAATGGCCTGTTAATTCAGGTGCTGAGAGGTTACCATGTTCCAGTCACCGTTCTAAGTGCTGGAGGTTCAGCAGAGGACAAGAGTCAGTTCTCCCGGAGGTTGTATATGAGTGTATATATATGTGTGTGTGTGTGTGTGTGTGTGTGTGCGTGTACATGCCAGTGTATATTAACACTCAGGGGAACAGATGATAATTGAGTATATAATAAAGAGGGCAACTACAAATTTTGAAATAACCAAGTAATACAATAGAGCATAACTGAAAAGAGGCCTCTTTAGATAGGTTGGTCAAGGAAGACCACTCTAAAGTGGTGGCTTTTATGCCACAGATCTGACGGAAGGAAAGAGAACATTTAAAAGCCAAAGAAGAAACACTCCAAGCACCAGTAACTAGTGCAAAAGGCCCTGAAGCAGGAGAAGTTTGTGTGTTCGAGAAAGATAAGATTGTGAGACGAGAGGAACTGTATGAAATGAAGATAAGAGGTTGGGCAGAAACCAAACCAAAAGTATAGTCTCAGAGGCTATGGTTAGAGATTGCATTGTATTCTCACTGCAACTCTTAAAAGAAAAGTGGAAAATCAGACTAATGTTTTTAACAAACTATCCCGATTGTTGGGTAGAAAGTGAACATCAGAGGGCAAAATGGAGACAGGAAACCCCTGAGAAATGTCACCGTCTTCAGTCAGGCTTGGACCAGGCATGACTGGAAATTGACCAACACAGATGCACTTGAACATCTATTTGGAGGAAGAACTCACAGAATTTTCTGATTGATCAGACAGGGGCAATGAGGGGAAGGGAAAGAGTCAAGGATGAAACCTACATGTTTGCTTTGAGGAACAGGAATGGTGGTGGACTAATTTACTGAGATGGGGAAGATTTGGGGGGGGGGGGGACAATTTGAGGCTGAGGGTGGGGGTTGGGGTGAAGATCCATTGTAGAATTTAGTGAAGCTTGAAATGATGTTAGTCATGTTGAGTTATCCAGGAGGCGGATGGATATTTGAGTCTGTTGCTCAAACAAGCCCAAAGTTGGGGATGAGAGGCAGCTTAGTGGTGTCCCAGAAACCAGGTGCCAGAGAAGGAGATGGAGGAAGATCTAGTCAGGAGGATAAGAGAAAAGCCAAGGGACGTCCCAGAAGCCAAGAGCAGAGTGTGTTTTAGTGTGGACAGAGCATTTAATGGTGTTAAATTTCACAGGAGGGGGAAGGAGGCTCTTGGCGATTATGTTGAGAGCAGTGTCAGTGGGAAAGGAAACCAGGGGAGGGTGTTGGAGAGTGAGTGAGTTGGAAAGTGGAGAAGTGGAGACAGCAAGAGTCGACTGGCTTTGGAAAATGTTTTGCTCAGCAGGGAGCTGGGAGAGAGCTAAGGCTGATCGCAGGGGAGTGATTGTGATGATGTGCCATGGAATCTTGGCTGGACTAAGAGGGATGAAGACAGGTGACAGTGAAAAGTGGGGCCAGTGAAATGACAGCCACAACGGGGCTGAAGAATTTTTGCAGTGATGGTGCTGAAGGAAGTGAGCCGGAACGATAGGAGGCGGGGTCTAAATAAAGATGCTTGAACGTGAGACTTTGGAGGTGACGTGATGTGATCACTGGTGATGGCCAAGGGCAAGGTTTCTCAACCTCGGTGGATTCTTGGGTCTGGATCGTTCTTTGCTGAGGGGGCTCTTCTGTATCTTCTTTGGCCTCATGACTGGCCTCTACCCGTGATACACCAGTAACACTCCTTCAGTGGTGACAGATACTCAGATGTTGTCAAAGGTCCCCTGAGGGGCCCAAATCACCCCTGGCTGAGAACCACTGTCACATGATAACTCACTTCTTTCTCACTTTGACCCTGTGGATGTAGGGTCACCGTGAATCAGGTGTCACTGAAGCTAGGATCAGGAAGGAGCCAGATCCTAGCTCCTACCCAAACTTTGGGTAAAATAATCCATCTCTTTGGGCCTTGTCATCTCATCTGTAGAATGAGGTTAATAATGATTCCCAGCCTTTAAGGCTGTTGTGAAGGTTAAGTTATGTCAAACCTGAAAAACGCTGTAAAACAGTACCTGGCACGTAGTATGTTGATAGCAATCATTGAAACAGGTATAGTTTTAAATTTTTTTTCTCTATTTATCTATTTGGCTGCATTAGTTGCAGTATGCAGTATGCAGCATACATATAGTTGCAGTATTTCCATTATCCATGGAAATGCAGGATTTCCGTTGCATCTTGTGGGATCTTTTGTTCTGGCACTTGGGCTCTCTAGTTGTGATGCATGGGCTTATTTGCACTTCCTAGGTGGCTCAGTGGTAAAGAATCTGCCTGCCAGTGCAGGAGCCTCAGGAGGTGCAGGTTTGATCCCTGAGTCGGGAAGATCCCCGGAGAAGGAAATGGCAACCCACTCCAGTATTCTTGCCTGGAGAATCCCATGGACAGAGGAACCTGCGGAGCTTGGCGGGCTACAGTCCGTGGCGTGGCAAAGAGTCGGACGTGAATGGGCACAACAACAACACAAAGTGGGATCTTAGTTCCCTGACCGGGGATTGGACCCAAGTCCACTGCATTGCAAGGCAGATTCTTAGCCACTAGACCACCAGGGAAGTCCCTGAAACAGGGTATTTTAAAGACCCCTTTCAAGCCCTAAAATTCTGTCATTATTGTATTAGTGCCATAGTCTATTACTAGACCATATGCTATGTATATGGTACTGTCATTCTCTTGACACATTTTTTTGAGGCAGTTGCTGTGTTCCAGACACTTTGTTAGGATCTCAAAGAGAAAAGATAAACCTGTAATTGTGATGTTCACAGACAGAAGTGATTGTTCCCCAAAGACAGGTTACAGATAAGTAACGATGTGAATTTCAAGGAAGGAGAGGTTAACTTTCTACTGAAGTAGGGAGAATCAGGAGAGGCTTCCCAAAGGATGGAACGTATGAGTTGGAATTTGGACTTGGGGATATTGGTGGGGGTGGAGGAGTGGGGTAGAAGGCATCTTCAGCAACACAGGAGCAAAACACAGAGCTAGGTCAATCCAGGGGATGTGGAGATGCTATCAATAGGCAAGTTGGGCTTCAGATGTGGGGGATGAGGCTGAAAGGTGAGTTGGGGCCAAAAGGTTAAGGATTCGCATGCCAAGGAGCTTTGAGGGACATTGATTGAATCCATTATATTAACATGCAATCAATACACTGCTTGTTGCAATATCTAAATGATCTCACAGCGTCGTTATATACCCCTTGTTCCTTTCAAATCACTTTTGTCCTCTTGGTTTGTGAGTCCTCTCAATACCTTCATGAAGCCTGTGAATAGGAATGAAAACCTCAGTTTGTGTGTGGGCATGTTCCATCATGTCTGACTCTTTGCGACCCCATAGACTGTAGCCCGCCAGGATCCTCTGTCCATGGGATTTCCCAGGCAAGAATACTGGAGTGGGTTGCCATGTCCTACTCCAGGGGATCTTCCCAACCCAGGGATCAAACCTGCATCTCTTGTGTCTCCTGCATTGACAGGCAGATTCTTTAGCCCCAGTTTACTAACCCACAAATAGGAGCCCAGTAGGCACTGAAGATTGGATGTGCAGGTTGATGGCCACACTCGCGGACGATGGTGCCTCAAGATGGTGCCATGGTTTTTATCCCAGACTCTCCATCCTCACTGAGCACCTTCTACCTGCAGGGTCCTCCAGTGAAGCACCTCATGCCCACCACCCCCTGCACCCTCACCTGATGCAGGAACACATGGGCACCAACGTCATTGTTGCCAACACGATGCCTGCTCACCTCAGCAACGGACAGATGTGTGAGTGGCCCCGGCCCAGGGGGCAGGCAGGTGGGCAACTTGGGCTCTCCCCTGGAAGGGGCGAGGTTGGGGCCTGAGAGGGAATCTAGAGAAGGTTGGGTCTAAAAGATGGGAAATGGGGTAAAACAGTTCTCTGTGCTCCAGGGTAGGGAACGAGGGGTAAGACGGTCCATTTGTGAAGGCTGCTTATTCAGTGAGGTGATTGACAGCGTCGCCTGAATGAAGCTGTCCTTAGATGAGGCAGTCCACTGGGTAGATTGGTTGAGGATGTCCATTGCAGTGAGGTTTCCATTAGATGATGTTGTCCACTAGGTAAAATTGTTCACTGAAGTTAGACTTACCAGTCGGGTAAGACTGTCAATTAGACAACTGGGTGAGACTCTTCACTGGGTGAAGGCTTCCCCTGGGCTAGACTGTCCTCTGAGATGAAATCTCACAAGAGTGAATTTGTCATTGGGCAAGGTCCTTCAAAGAAGAAGATTATCATTGGGATGAGAGGGTCCGCTAAGATGAGATCGCATTTCATTGAGATTGTTCTTTGGGGAAGTTGGCCTTCGAATAAAGTTGGCCAAGAGGATCATAGTCAAAATTACGTTCTGAACTTGTCATGGGGGTGGGGACTTCAGTTTCTGCTACTCACCTACCTAACTATCAAGGGAGAGTATTTCTTGAGCCAGTTAGCCAGCCCCTTGGGTCTCATCTACTGCTGTTCCTTTTGTCCAAGAAAGCTTGATCCTGTCACATGTCCCAAAGTCCTTAGGGAGACTCAGACCTGGACCCCAGTTTGGGAGAAGCATCCAAAGTCTCCATATCAAAGGTTGGAGGAGATGGGGGTTGTAGGGACATGGGCAAAGGTTCTAACCACAGAACCTGGCCCAGCTATAGCCTTCCAGACCTGATGGAACCTAGACTTGGTGATCTGGGGCTCAGAAGGTTTGAGCTGTAGGAGTCCTTAGAGATAATCTAGTCTAATTCTCTCATTTTGGAGAAGAGGAAATTAAGTGTCAGAGAGTGGGGAGGACTTGCCCAGGGCTCTTCATTGAACCCCCAAAGGGCTGGAGTTCTGAGCAGCCCTGTCTGTCTCTTTGCCCCTCCAGCCACCCCTGAGACTCCGCAGCCTTCGCCCCCCGGTGGTTCAGGGTCCGAGCCCTACAAGCTTCTGCCTGGAGCCATCGCCACCATTGTCAAGCCCCCCTCTGCCATCCCGCAGCCGACCATCACCAAGCAGGAAGTCATCTAGCAAGTCACTGGGGGGCGGGGGCTCTGCTGGCCCCCCAGGCCCCTCCGAGAGCCCCTGATGGTCACTGGGTCACAGTGAGGCAGGCTGTGACCACAGGCCAGTCCCCGAGCAGTGATGGGAAGGGCGCAGGCCCTTGAACTCGGGCTGTGGGTTGCATCCCACTGCCCCCCTTCACCACTTGCTCTGGATAACGGGGCTGTGACTTGGGAAGACCCCGGCTGGAAAATCCTCTGCTGCTTGGACAGCTTTCCTCCTGCTGAAACCATTGCCTTCCCCTCGTCCTTCGCCCCACTTCTTCACCCCCACAGGGCTGCCGCCTGGAGACCACACAAGCCCTCGCCGAAGCACGGCTCCCTCCCCGCTCAGACTGGTGTAATGTTGGACACAGAGCCCTTCTGGGCCGGGTCACGTGGCGGCCCCTCCCCCATCCCTGTTCCGCTGCCACAGCCTCCGCTGTCCCCCTGAGTCATCCTCGTTTCCCCAAAGCCACCTCTCCAGAGGCCGAGGAAGACGTGCAAACAACACCCCAGTCATCCCGGGAGCGTTTAAAAAGCACTGACGAGCTCGGTGCAGTGTGGGAGCCTCTCGAGCAGGTGGACACTGTTTCTCCTCTAACCCCTGGCTCTTCCCTTCTTCTGGGACTTGGGAGGGTCCTTTGGGTCAGAGTGGTGGTCCCTATAGGCTGCTGACCACGAAAGAACAATCCAGGGTGGACACTGCAGCCAGGACCTAGAGGGGAGGCTAGGAGGGGGTCAGAGAAGGCAGGAAGGGGCGGACTACCCAGCAGGCCTTTAAGGAAGGGCTGGATTCCAGCTGGTGAAACAAGTGAGCCAGAACATTCTAAGGAAGACCAGGCAGGGAAGTGAGAAGGAGGCCGTGGAAGGAGGCGATGAAAGATGGGGTTGTCTGGAGGAGAGGGGGTGCGCTGGACAGCTGGGGATCTTGAATGCCAGATGGAGGCATGGCGACTTGGGTCCCCAGTCTGAGTGACTGGAGAGGCATGTGCAGGGAGCCAAGCTTTCAGAAACTGGAAGATCACAGTCCTCCAGAGGTCAGAAGTTTGGGAGAGAGCTGGGAGATCAGATGGGGCCTGACAGTGTCATCCAGGTGAGGGAGATGAAGCTGGGGATGGAGAAGACCGGTGGGTGAGCCTCAGGTGAGAGCGGCATCGAGAAGGAATTATCCCACCGAGCCTGTCTCGAGCGCTTCCTCCCAGCACTTGACCTGCACCATCTCCTTTCATCCTCCTTATTACCCAGAGAGTGTTACTGAAGAGGGAACTGAAATCTCAGTGGTTAAATCATTTTTCTGGAACTCACACAGCTAGGAAGTGACCCAGACTTGATCCCAGGTCTGCCAGGCTCAGGCGCTCTTAGCCTCAGTGGTTGAACATCTTCTCTGGAAAGGCCCCCTCTGTCCTCACTGGGGTTGAGTTGAGGGCCTTCCTGCCCGCTTCAGCAGCCTTGGAAGCCTCATTCTCCCCAGGAGCCCTGCCCACTCCCAGGACTAAGATTGGCCTGAGGCTGCACTAAAGTCCACTTTGGGTCCAGAATCCTGTTTGCTGATAAACATGGAGAAGTTGTGGTTCCTAGACCCCTTTTCTATCTCTTCAGTCCCCAAGTGTGGGGAAGAGGCATTCAGCAGTCCATCGCGAGATGGACCAGTGTGACCTGGTGTGCCGGAAGTGGGATGGTGTGAGTGGGGGCGGGGGAGAGGGAAGAGGAACTGGGTTTGAGACCTGCTCTGTGAGCATCACTCAGGGTACCTTCTGAAACCATTAAACCCCAGAATCAAGCAGCCAGTACTCATCCATGCAGAACTTTAGAGGCTTTGTGAAAATTCTGGAAGGTGCCACTGGCCAGTGTGAGTTAAAGGGATGTGTCCTGGGACTAGAACTTAGGGAAGAGAGTAAACAGACTGACTACCCACCCCCCATGCAGACTTCTGAGTAGATGCAGGTAGCATCCCGGTGCCCCCCAAATCCCACCATTAGGGACTGCTTTTTGTGAGAGAGGCAGGAAGGGTATTGGGATGGGATGTCCGAGAACAATCACCACATCTCCAGTGCTGTCAGAGTTGGGGTTCCCCCTTCCACCAAGCCAAGTCTTCAGTCCCAGGAGAGGCTGTTCCCGGCTCAGAGCAGCCCAGCCTCACTTAGCCACCCCTCATTCCTGAGGCATTCCCCCAGAAACCCCAGCCAGGGTGCTCAGATGGGTCTGGGGCAAGGTAGGGAAGCTGGGGTCATTTCTGGTCATTGTCATTCCCCCTCTTTGCTACCCTGATCCCCTCGCCCTGCCTCACTGTTGCCCAGACTTCTGCCATGGGAACAAAGCTGAGATAAGAAGTTCCCGTAGGGTGGGGTGGGATAGCTGTGATTTTTAACGGTAGCCAATCTTCTGGGCCAGGGGCCAATCCTTGGCCCCAAATCAACCTCCCTGGAAGAGAAATCCATGCCACTTTAATAATTTTATTGCCATGCAGGAAAAACAAAACAAAGAGAATGTACTTTTCTGACTCTAAACTGAGGCCACCACGTTTGAAAAATTTTTATTTTCACTACCTGAGTCGTGGTCTTAAAACATACAATCCTATAGACTCAAAGAGGGTTGGAGGGCAAGCACAGACCCTGTAATTCCTCCACTGAGACAACCTCTTCTCTGGGTGGCTCTCAGTAGCTTCCAGAACCCACACGGCTCTCCTGAGGGTGGACAAAGGGGAACAGGGCCTTGGAAATGGACGCTCCTCGATTTCTTGTGATGACCAAGCCAATTACCTTCGCCAAATCGCTCTGTGATTTGCCTTGATTGTGATGAAGTTAGAAATTCACACTGAGCAGTTCTGAAAGTGGTGGGCTGGCGTCCCGCCAGACTGATCAGCATCTTCCCATGGTGGATGTCATCGGGTCCTGTGCTGTCCCCGGAGCCCCTGTCACTGCCACCCAACGGGGCAAAGAAGCAAAAAAGATTTCTTACTCTTGTCATTTTAACAAAAGTTTATAAAAAGAAATAAATGGCGCCTATGTTTTCTAAGTCCTTGGATGAGTGTCCTTTCTTCCTTTCAGGTGTTAGAGATAAGAATGAGAATATTCGGATAGCTCTTTCTATATGCAGAATGCTTTCATAGCTGTTATGGTTTTTTTATCTTCTCAAGGTAAGCAGGGTAGACATGATTACCTCTTGCTTTATCAATGAGGTAAATAAAGCTCAGGGGAAGCAATTTTCCTTGAGAGGTGGGAGTTGAAATCTAGTGTTTTGATTCCAACTGCTCAGTATGTAGAGAGAGTAGGGGAGGGATAAGAGAGGAGGTGATGGCAAGAAGAATGGCAAGAAGTTTCCAGGGTCTGTCACTGACCATCAGGGTCTAAGATGGAACCCTGTTCTGGGTCACTTCCAGGGACCTGGGTCAACCTGCCAGCAATAAGGAACAAGTAGGCATAGGAAATCTTGTAAAAGTAAGCACTGTTTTCCAGAAAGAATAAAAGTATTTAAAACAGATAATCAAGAAGGTCCTACCATATAGTACAGGGAACTCAACTCGATATTCTGTAATAGCCTAAATGGGAAATTCAGTTCAGTTCAGTCGCTCAGTTGTGTCCAACTCTTTGTGACCCCATGGACTGCAGCACACCAGGCCTCCCTGTCCAACTCCCAGAGTTTACTCAAACTCACTTCCATTGAGTTGGTGATGCCATCCAACCATCTCACCCTCTGTCCCCTTCTTCTGCCTTCAACCTTTCTCAGCATCAGGGTCTTTTCCAATGAGTCAGTTCTTCACATCAGGTGGCCAAAGTATTGCAGTTTCAGCTTCAACATCAGTCCTTCCAATGAATATTCAGGACTGATTTCCTTTAGGATGGACTGGTTGGATCTCCTTGCAGTCCAAGGGACTCTCAAGAGTCTTCTCCAACACCACAGTTCAAAAGCATCAATTCTTCAGTGCTCAGCTTTCTTTATAGTCCAACTCTCACATGCGTACGTGACTACTGGGAAAACAATAGCTAGACAGACCTTTGTTGGCAAAGTAATGTCTCTGCTTTTTAATATGCTGTCTAGGTTGGTCATAATTTTTCTTCCAAGGAGTAAGCATCTTTTAATTTCATGACTGCATTCACCATCTGCAGTGATTTTGGAGTCTCCAAAAATAAAGTCTGCCACTGTTTCCACTGTTTCCCCATCTATTTGCCATGAAGTGATGGGACCGGATTGCCATGATAGTTTTCTGAATGTTGAGCTTTAAGACAACTTTTTCACTCTCCTCTTTCACTTTCATCAAGAGGCTGTTTAGTTCTTTACTTTCTGTCATAAGGGTGGTGTCATCTGCATATCTGAGGTTATTGATATTTCTCCTGGCAATCTTGATTCCTGCTTGTGCTTCATCCAGTCCAGCATTTCGCATGATGTACTCTGCATATAAGTTAAATAAGCAGGGTGACAATATACAGCCTTGACGTACTCCTTTTCCTATTTGGAACCAGTCTCTTGTTCCACATCCAGTTCTAACTGTTGCTTCCTGACCTGCATACAGATTTCTCAAGAGCCAGGTCAGGTGGTCTGGTATTCTCATCTCTTTCAGTGTTTTCCACAGTTTGTGGTGATCCACACAGTCAAAGGCTTTGGCATAGTCAATAAAGCAGAAATAGATGTTTTTCTGGAACTGTCTTGCTTTTTCAATGATCCATTTGTGCAGCAGTTTGAGCATTCTTTGGCATTGCCTTTCTTTGGGACTTAAATGGGAAAAGAACTTCAAAAAGAATAGGTATATGTTTAACTCAATCACTTTGGTGTACACCTGAGACTAAGACAACATTGTAAATCAACTGTACTCCAATATAAAATAAAAAAAAAACATTTAAGAAGAGAATAAAAGCAGAGATGCACTTGAGAATTCCCAGCCAGGTCTGCACCCACCTTGTTCCCCGGATAACCCAGAAGGCTGGGCTTGTGCCTTGGCCACCACAATCTTGCTTTTGCCCAGGGGTGTGCTGGAGCTGGCCTGGGAGATTTGATTTTTAGCTGCTCTTTCCAGTTCTGTGTTGCACAATGCTACACAGATGGATAGCAATGGTGGGAGCATTTACACCACAAGAAAAGGCAAACACTGCAATTCAAGGTGTTTCCTGGCCAGCCAATTGCTCACTATTCACCAGCACAACACGGCATTCGGTGATGAGGGGAGGGAGACTTGCTGACGGCTGGGCGGTGGATGCCTAGGTGTGGTCAAGGGTGATGGTAGAGCAGGGTGACCCTTTCTGTTTCACAAAGGGAAGGGACAAAAGCTCTGACCTGGGAGTCACATATCTCGGTGATTGACTTTCAGGTCACTCCTCTCTGAGCCTCATCTGTAAAATGAAAATGATCCCTCCCTCCAGGGGCGTCGTCAGGATTGAACTGAATGAGATCCAGCAGCTATGGCAGCTGCCGTGTATATAAGGTGTACGGAGTGCCCGCTCGAGGTGGGGTGGGGGGCTTTGTGAGTGTGGACTCCGCACTCAGCTCCTGTCCAGTGAGAAGCTAACCACTGAGTTCTCCAGCCTCAAAAACACGCTTTCCCTGCAGCCTGATCCCCAGGGCCACTCCTACCGTCCCCTGGGCCTTTCTCCACTCACGAGCACCAGGAAGTAATCTCTCTAATGTTGCATCAGAAACCTCGTCCATGCCGCTGCCAGCATGGACGCAGGGGTGGGGGAAAGAGCAGGCTATTGCAGTCCTAGAGCGTGCTTAATAAATTCATATCAAAACCATAAACCCTGGGCCGCCGTAAATTCCTCTGGCCTTGGCTCCTCCAACCTCATCAGACCTTTGCCCCCGTTAATCTCAAATCTCAGCCTAGGCAGCCCGAGCCGCAAGCTTGGTTTCCATTTTCGTTGCAAAACAACATCAGCTCGGGTGGCAAATAGCACAGCCCATGATCACCATTTCAGACATGATGAAACTGAAGTTCAGAGAGGTGAAGGAAATTGTCCCAGGCACAAAGCCAGGGAGCAGTTGAGCCAAGACTCAAAGTCAGCCTTCTTTAACCAACCCACGTGGCCTCCCAAGAATTGGGAATTCACCTTCCCCCTACAGAGGCTCCTTCCCCAGCCATGACACTGGGTGCTTTGATCGGTTTATCCCAGATGGAACCCCTCAATAAATGGGAAGAAGTGGGAGGGACTCTGTGTGATGGGCTGTGTGACCATCCAAAGGAATGTCCACGCAATCACCCCAAACTGTGGGACCACCCTACTTCCTCTTCTGTGGAACCCAAATCACCTTTGTCCTACATTTCTCGGATCAGTGTGTGATCTGTAAATTCCAAGGCAAGACCTAAGAGACCTGTCTTACAGGATCCTCTGCCACTGTCTAATGATGGAGAAGCTACAACCTCATCCTATTTCAAGTCCCACATTTATTGACCACTTCCTCTCTGCTAAACATCATCGGGCATACTTTCACCCCCACGACAACACCCTGAGTCAGGTGTTCCTATTGTTCTATTTTACAAATGAGGATGGGATTTGTCCACGGTTCAGAGCTGGCCCAACAGCCAAGATTCAAACGTCCATTGTCTGATCCCAGGGGCCACCACAATGGGACCTGGGAGAAAGCCGATGAGTCAGGCACTGTATGTTGAGCACAGAAGCAGTGTGAATGGATAAAAGTTCATCATTTGACAAATAACTGAGGGGCAGAGCCTTGTGCCAAAGCATCCTGGGGTTTATGGAGGGACAATCATGAGGTGCCTCCCTGTTAGTTTACAATTTTCTCTTATAGAAGGGAAAATTACAAGCAGGGACTTCCTGGGTGGTCCAGTGGTTAAGAATCCACCTGCCGACACAGGGGACACGGATCCCACCCCTGATCTGGGAAGACCCCACGTGCAACAGAGCGCATTTAGCACACACCACTGCTACCGAGCCCATGTGCCTGAGGCCTGAGCAGTGCAGAGAAGAGCAGCGCCCGCTCACTGCAACTAGGGAAAGCGTGGGCACAGCAAAGAAGACCCCGAGCAGCCAAAAATCAGTCAACAATATTTTTTAAAAAATTACAAGCAGTTGAATATTAAGAGTCAAAAGAGAGTGACCGTAGGGGAGACGGTCCTTTGAATGGGGGGATGACGGCCGTCTGGGAAAGTCTCATTTGCTGCAGGATTTGGAGGCAGGGGTGAGACAGAGAAAAGACGGATGTGTGTTCACAGAGAAGGAGAAAGATGGAGCAGCGAGTCATGGCAGGCAGCCCGTGGATGGGAGGGAGGATGGAGACCAGTGTTTCCCAACCTGCAGTCACTGTACTTGTCACATCCCCTCCACACCCGAGTACCACTGCACCTTACTTAATTACCATTTTTCTTTTTTTTAAATAAGGTAGTCTGATTTTATTTAATTAATGATTTTTTTGGCCATATCACGAAGCCTGGAGGATCCTACTTCCCCGACCAGGGATTGAACCCCAGCCCTTGGCAGTGAAAGCTCAGAGTCCTAACCACTGGACGGTCAAGGAATTCCCATTGTTTTTCTTTCAATCAACTCATAAGCATTCTCTTTACCTTGATCACCGATACAAATGGAAAGCCAGTATCACTTTGCTGTGTAGATAGAAGATGATTGCAAACTTAGAGCAAAAAGTAAGTGATTTGTTTTTAAGGTGGAGCCAGAGAAGATCACCCAGGGAAAGCTCTGTACTTTCCTCTTCAAATGGGAAATTGACAAGTATCGAGAGAGATATGCGATCCAAACGTCCTCTGTAAAGCGTCTGGAAGGAAGGAAGACTTGTAAAGAGACAGGCTATGGTGGCGATGGCATTGCTTTCCTCTTCAAATGGGAAATTGACAAGTATCAAGAGAGATGTGCTATCCAAACTTCCTCTGTAAAGCATCTGGAAGGAAGGAAGACTTGTAAACAGACAGGCTATGGTGGCGATGGCATTGAATGCCATCTCTGGGTAACCCTAAAGTCCCTCGGCACGCCCACTGAAGTCTTCAACCCACACCTGGAAGCACGCCATGGTGGATGGTCTGGGCCAGGGGGTGGGGGCCTCAAACAGCGGGCAACTGG